AAAAAAAAAAAAAACAAGCGAAACCTGTTAGTGCTTTATCATTCAAACATGTAAACAATGGCATTGTAGTGCAGATCATGCAAAACTACGAGAACTGTTTTTGATGGTCAGTTATTTATGCTGAATGGGAGCCCTCTTTCTCACAAGGCTACGCAAATTGTGCACACTTGAAGTGGATGAGGTAGAGAAGGTAAAAAGCCTTCCTAATGTGTGCAGTCGAAGTCTAAACAAGGTAAAGCTAAGTCTCAAACACCTCTCCACACCACCACCACCATTTCCTCCTCCTCCTCCTCCTCCTCCTCCTCCAGTAAATCCTTCGTTCCAACACTCACCGCCTTCAGTAGTGGATGAATGAATAAAAATTTACAATCTTCACTGCACAAAAGTATGCATAAAATTTATGGAAAATGAATGTTTGTACGCTTTAGTGGTGAAAGTGGGATCGGACAAAGGTTTGGTTGTATCAAATGATTTATTTCCTTGCTTAATGAATGCTGCAGTGCAAATGCCATTTTGCATCGCAAACCAGTTGGTCAGTGGGCAAATATGAGGTGAAATGGTGCAGTGGGTACTGTCGATTCGACATTCTTCTTTGGAGATTCTTTTGTAGGCGGGTTTTTCTTTTGTTGTTGTGCAGATGACTTAATTTAGTACTTCAAAGTGTCCCCACGGGGCGGAAGGAGAGGGTGAGGAGAGGGGGCGGGATAGGAGGAAAGGGAGTGACGACTGTGGATCGTCTACACACTCCTCGAGGAATGAAGGCGGTCCCTCTTATGCCTTGACTAGCACTTGACTTCATAGACGTCTTCATAACATTTTATGGCTTCAGCTGTTGATGTTCCATTGGGGGGAGGGAGGGGGGGCGGAGGGAGAGAAGTCGCGCATTCGCGTTTATCGTCACCCAAACTCCTCCACTTGGGCGCCTCGGCGGGATAGTTTGCTTAAAGCGGTTTCATTCCACCTCCATAAGACTGTGAGTCAGACCAACCAGCAGAGGAGGAAGTAGGAAAATACGTCTACTGCAGTAGAGGGGAGGCGTCCGAGCCCTCCTCCACCACAAAGTTGGTGCCAAATGTCTGCGCCTCACCTACAGAGGACTTTTAATCCCTCAAACTGCAATTGTGTCTGTTTCTCAAGTATTTGCTCTTCAAGCGTCACGAGACGCATGGAGGAGGTTCTGTGGATGTGTTGGACAAGCAAACCCTTCCCCGCTTTGCGTCCCTTTTCTCATCAAAGCACGCAATTAGCTGCATTCGGCTAAGAACGCTCCTTCCTCTTCTTCTTCTTCTTTTGCTGAGGTTGTTTAAAGTTGGATTTTGACTGCGTTTCTTTATGCGGCGAATCGAGGAGTTGCCAATCTGGGTGAGGATGGGAGGGGAGTGCAGATGTGAGCGCTGTGGTTTCGACGCGTCGACCACACACTTCTCAAGCACCGCGCTCGAATTGAATTTTCCGCCACTCAAGTTAAACACATTATGTGTCTTAAAAATGACTTAATGAATTAAAAAAGTGATCACCCTTAAAACCTATTGTCGCGTCTGTGCTACTTAACTTTAATGAGATGCGTCTGTGTGGTGACTTTTATGATTTTCCCTGCCATTTCATTGGACTCACACCCAGACTGATGCACTCCCATTGTCATGAGCTGAGGATGGCTTTGCGAAACCTGATCAGGCATCTGTCACTAAGTGGATGGGAAATTTAGATGTGGTTAAGGCAAGTGTCTAACGTTACTGCAGAGGGTGAGCCACACATTCCTTCAGCCCGGATCTCCTGTTGATAGACCGCCTCTTCCATGTGGGAATAATTAAAAACACAGTCGTATGCATTCCACTCCTCCTCTACCTCCTGCTTTTCCTGCTCGTCCTCCTGCCTCCTCCTCCTCGTTTACCTCCCCCTCTACCTCCTGCTCTTCCTGCTCCTCCTCCTCCTGCTTCTCCTCCTCCTGCTCCTCCTCCCCCTCTACCTCCTGCTTTTCATGCTCCTCCTCCTCCTCCTCCTCCTCCTCCTGCTTCTCCTCCTCCTGATCCTCCTCCTCCTCCTCCTGCTCCTCCTTTTCCTCCTCCTCTACCTCCTGCTTTGCCTGCTCATCCTCCTGCCTCCTTCTGCTCCTCCTCTTCCTCCTCGTTCTTTAGACCATGATGCCGATGATGAATCATAAATAAAATGAAATGATTCAGACTATGTTCTCCTCTTTTAACAAAAACTAGATAGTTGCGCCCACACTCCTTAAATGCTAAACAATAGAATGTAAAATGGAGGTATTTGCAGCTGGTCAAGCAAAGGAGACGCGCTTTGTACAGAGCCCAAAGGTCAAATCTTATCCTGCCACCATGGCTGAGGTTATCCGCCTCTGCAACGTCTTTAAATAGTGGTTAGTTGGATTTTATTATTTTTGTTTTGTATGAACCACTGTCACAAGCCCATTTTATGCGAATGAAGTCACTCAAAACACCCAATTGGACCCGAGTGAAGCCACCATTGGGTGTGAAACACACGAGGTGGTGCTATTCTCCTCCCCGCTCAAGCCTTCGTCTCACTTCTCGTCCTCACTGTCGCCTTGACGGGACTGTTTTAATGCTCACAATCATGACAAGAATAAAGGAAAGGGTGCGACGGCGACGCCAAAATCTCGCAACCTCATGACAATGGAGGAGTTGATAGAACTGACGGATGCTTATCAACTGTGAAAAAAAAGTGATGAGAAGTTAATGACTCGTGTGAAGGCATTTAACATTCGCACTGGAGAGCGTTGAAGAGACGTACACCAGCGATTTTCTCGACCAGATCAAGCGAAAAAAAATTTAAATCAAAAGCTAAATGATCCTCCGCAGAGAATCAATCTTTCTGGTTCTGAGGTGTCGCCTCGGTTGCGAGGTAGAGAATTTATTGAAGAACTTGATGCTCTGCTTTGAGCGCAACGCATTGTCGTGTTTATCGGTGTCAGTGTTGTAGCCCCTCCTAGTCCCGCATTTTTCGTCTGAGTGCTCCTGAGCGGCTTCTTCAAGAGACTGTTGACTTATATATGCTTTAATGTGGACGATGATGCCCCAACTGTCGCCGAGAGAGTGTATGGTGGCCTCCAAACTCCGTGTTGGTGATAGTGGTGAAGGAGTAGGAGGATCAGAAGCAGTAAGATGAGGAACAAGAGGAGGATCAGGAGCAGGAGCAGGAGGAGGAGCAGGAGAGGAGGAGGAGCAGGAGGAGAAGGAGAAGGAGGAGCAGGAGGAGGAGAAGGAGAAGGAGAAGGAGGAGGAGCGGGAGCAGGAGAAGCAGGAGGAGCAGGAGGAGCAGGAGGAGAAGGAGGAGCAGGAGGAGCAGGAGGAGAAGGAGGAGCAGGAGGAGGAAGAGGAGCAGGAGGAAGAGAAGGAGGAGCAGGAGGAGCAGGAGGAGGAGGAGCAGGAGGAGAAGGAGGAGCAGGAGGAGGAAGAGGAGCAGGAGGAAGAGAAGGAGGAGCAGGTGGAGGAGGAGGAGGAGGAGAAGGAGAAGGAGGAGGAGCAGGAGCAGGAGGAAGAGGAGCAGGAGGAAGAGAAGGAGGAGCAGGAGGAGGATGAGAAGGAGAATGAGGAGGAGGAGGAGGAGGAGGAGGAGGAAGAGAAGCAGGAGGAAGAGAAGGAGGAGCAGGTGGAGGAGGAGGAGGAGGAGAAGGAGGAGCAGGAGGAGGAGAAGGAGAAGGAGAAGGAGGAGCAGGAGGAGGAGAAGGAGAAGGAGAAGGAGGAGCAGGAGGAGCAGGAGAAGCAGGAGGAGGAGGAAGAGGAGCAGGAGGAAGAGAAGGAGGAGCAGGAGGAGGAGAGTGGAATGTCCATCGCCCACCAATACGGAGCCTTTGAGGCCCCTCAGTATAAAATTGCACACGGGCGTCAGGCTGATTCTTCCTTGACACTTGTAAAGTTGCATTTAATGACAACAAGTTGATGGACGTTTTTTGACCTTTGAGATGTTTGACTTTGATGGAAGTTTACAAAACAAAAGAAGCACAAAACAAGAACAAATGTTGAAACAATCTTCACAATTCTATTGGATTGTGATTTCTTTAAAGCCATGCATTAATTGCAAAACATTGTTTATTTGACTACCTGTAGGACTGGCGATCGGTTTTGACCTTTGAATCCGACCAAAGCCCGACCGCTTTCCCTACGCTGTGGATACAAGTTGATGCCTTCTCCCACCTAATGGAAGGTCTCGAGACGTTTATCACTTCAACACCGATTTTACTGATTGAAGCGAAGCTTTACGGTGCAATGAAATGTGCGCCTTAGGTGGGAGGATCGCCAACTCTTCCACAACAGACGGACTGAGATTGGCGACTGCTTTTAGCATTCGCCTCATGTCAGTGTTCCACACGCAACGGAAGTGGCACAATCGAGAAGTACCTATGGAGGCTGTGTTTGCTTCCGTTTTGCATTTCTGTTGTGGTGTCCTTTCTTGGACACGAACGTGACTGTAGATCCAATGGAAGCTGTTGAACGGGTTGCAAACGCTCTGCCAGTCTCGCGGGAGCTGATGATCAGCGCGACTGGATTGCGAGTGCCTCCTCGCAGCACTGAATGCGTTGTGATGACTAACACAAGAGAAGTGCCGAGTGGAGCGTTGTGGACGTCGCTTAGACGAAGAGAGAGAGAGAGAATGTAACACTTTGTTTACTTGACCACTTATATGACTGGCGGTTGCGTTGGAATTCCGCGGCCACCCTTCTGACAAAGCCACATCCCAATCTCTCCCTCGTCTCCGCGAATTCATGCAATCAGTCTCGGTTAGGGCCTCCCTCTACAAATTAAGAAGGCTCGGGGGGTTGCACAAATTCTCCGCAACTTTTATCTCCAATTTTCGGCAATCATAAGCTACAGATTTTGTCAACCGCATCGTCGTTGCACATACATGTTGTCTTGCACCGAAATGAAGGGTAGCACTGGTTGTCATGGCGCGTAAATTGACATTTAGAAGGTGAATCAGGACCTCACAATGCCAGTTGTAAACATCCGTTCAATAATTGAGCCAAGGGTGTCACCACAGTGATGGGTGGACCTCTGTGGGCTTTCTTAGTGCAGACTGTGTTGTTCAGTGGAGGCAGTAATGTGAAGAGCTATCATGTGGAAGATTCCGTACTTCCAACATGATTGTGGTGATTTGATGTGCTTAGACGTCCTTCAGTGTTTGCACAACCTTGACTAGGCTATCTTCCAAGTATTTTATGCAGTATTTGTTGTTTAAGGTGTGGACTCGGGGGTCAAACGCGGTGCTCGCCGAGGTGACTGATTTGATCTGCACTGCATTGGATAGATGGAAGCCGAACGGAGGTCGACACAGGCGTCAGCATCGCTGTCGTTCTACTACCGCATTTCTGACCCATCAGGAGTCGATTTCCTTTCCTTCTCCGGAGCTATAAAACACCTCCCTGTTGGCGATACGGTGAATAGTACAGAACAAAGTAGGCGTCTATTCAGACATGGCAGTCAAATCAGTCCCCTGACCTACATGGCACATGTAAACACATAGAATTCTCGCACTTGCCTATTGTAAAGCATAAAATTCTGCGATGATGCACTGTGCATTTTTTGTTCTTTGTTTTTACCTCTCCTAACTTTACAGCCAAGGGAGAAGGCTGTGATAGAAAAGGGAAGGCTACCGTGACTCTTTTTAACTTTACCCTTCAAACAGCAAGCTGTTGCTGTTTCGTGTGCACTCTGCAACCCAGTCAGTGCTAGCAGGGGAGGGAGAGGTGGCGGGGAGAGGAGGGGGGTAGAACAGACCTTGACGCACCCTAGCCGAGGGGTTATACGTGCGCACCATGTGCGCGCTGATTGCGGCCGGAGCAGGAGCCCTACGTACTCCCCTGAACAGAAATCCAACCATTGATCTACACTCACATGCACATGTGTATGCACAGTAAAGCATTCTCAAGTTCATTTTCCTCTTGTTACTGGAGCGCTTTTGTCGATGGCGTCTTTGAATTTTTTTGACAAAGCAATTTAAAGCACTGGCGACAAGAGTTCGTTCAAATTAGCCACTTTTGGTCCTCCTTCAGGGCGACTTGGAGGTACCTCCTCACGAAACGGCATCACCGTAATCCGTTGCATCGGTCAATTGCAACCGAGCTATGCCCTCCAGAGGGGACATTTCTGCTACGCAACAGTCTCGAAAAGCATTTGTGTTTTCACAGCTGCTTACACTGGTAGGAATGGACTATCAATGAGGGACACACATTCAAGGCGGATTGTACAGTGTGCAAGTGCGGGAGATTGAAGTGGACAAAATGCCACTGCCTCTTGTCAACCAGCCTGACAACTGGTGTCCCTCGCCATCGACCTGCATTCACGTGATTCGCCACGCGATCAATAAACTTCAGGCGGTCATTCAGTAGTACCACAGCGCGGCCACTGTCTGGTCATGGACTACCCAAAACGACAATTTATGTTTCGTTTTCACGAAAATATTTACAAGGCGCATGATTTCATTTTTGACAAGAAAACTACTCGAGAAACTGTGCCTCAACTCTGTCCCATGATTGTGCCTTCCAGTGCTCCACATGCCACCTTCTGCACTGCCGCCTCCAACGATGCCAGCAATAGCACCCATAGCAGAGGCTACGCCGTCTCATCTCACACCTCCCCATGGTGTCCATGTCATCATTGTCCAAGTCGCGTGGCCCCACGTGACAATAATCAATAAAAGGAGGGCTACAGAGGTGAGGTCAAGGTTCCATTGAAGGTGTCGCAAGATGCGAGAAGAGCCTATGAGTATTGTGAAGAAGCGACTCTTATCCCTACGAATGTACGACCATATTATGAACAAGAATGCAAATCAACACATGCAGATGCGACCATTTCTCAGTCCAGACGCTCATTGCCGTCATGGGTGGGGAACTGTGGCCTATGGAACTCCGGTAGGCGTGCTTAGAAGTCCATATCAGTACAATGGAAGAGCGTGTCCATGTTCTAACGGATTGCCCATGCGGATGGAGTTCCCAGTCTACTACACACAGGGACCGTCCTAACCACTTCGATAGCAAACTAATGATGACTGATGTTGTCGATTGCTTTCATTGCTTATCTTCCATTCCTTTCTTTGTTTTGCTTTTTGCTTAAGCTTCAGTTAAAAAATAGTTTTTTACAAATCTGCACCTTGAACTTAATACGACTAGGAAAAAGGAAATCTCGAGGGTTACAAAGGCCCCTTAAGTAATTTAAGGTTGTCTTAACGCTTTGAAGATATTTACAAAAGTGTGTGTTTGATAGTTTCTCGTTGCTTGGTGGGTCCCTTGCTTGAAGAAGGCTTGATTAGGGATTGAGGCGGAGAAAATGCTGAATGGGTTTTGGTGAGCAAACGCATACGATTGAACAGTCGAGGTGATCCCCTGAGACAGCAAAAAGTGTAACAGATGAAGGCGCGTTTTCTTGATCATCAAAAGGGGGCAATCGAGTTGAGATGTGTGTAGAAGAATAAATGAAGTGACCCACAGTGTCTCCAGTGGATGTATTCCAAAGGCCAAAAAAAAATCAATATTGTGGAGTGCGCGTCACGTTGGAAAGGTAGGATGGAATAATGTCGACAACGGCATGGAACACCCATCTAAGTTGTTTCCCCAAGAATGCACCATATTCAGGTCAGAAGCCGCCATCCACCTTGCGTACTGCCTGTCAATGCTCGTCACTGACAAAGTGCTGGCGATCCGGTCCCTCAACCCAAGGGGAGGCGATAGGAACGTGTTATCAACCGCTGGAAAGAAAGGTCATTCAACCGTATGGAGGCTTGGGATTTCCAAAAATCCCCCCCAAACCACGCATCTCATCTGGAACAATGGCATACCTATGTAAGTTGAATACTCCTCTTCGCAAAACTGAACATCTCAATGCCGATGGAAATTGTGTTCGAGCTAGGCGAAGTATTGTAGAACTTGAAGACTTAAACACTCTCAATAACTGCACCACCTCCTGGCCCATGATTGCGGAGCATTGTACCTATAAACAGCAGCACCATCAGCGTCATGGATGGTCTGTCAATCCAGACGAGTGTAAAAGCCTCCGAGATGTGCGTTTTGCTACAGCCCACTCATTGAAGGTTAAAGGAAGTCCAGCAACCTGTCAGTTAAATACCTCTATGGCGTGCTCCAAACTCTGTTCTCAAGTTTGTCTATCTCCAGTAGAGAGCAGCCGAGCACTGTCCCGCCTTCCATCTCAGCGGTGCCGTCCAAGTATTTCCAGATGCGCTTCATCATGTGAACCATCTTGCATTCCTGTGCCATTGGATATCGGTGAGACGGCAAGGAAGAGGATTGAACAACACAAAATCTCCCATACCCATCCCACCAGACGACCTAGACTACCATATACTCGCAAGACAACAAAAAATATGCCCCTAAAGCCCTGTGGTCCTGGTTGTATGAGATTTTCAAAGGCGAGTTTGGACCAGTACTACCGATCATCAGTGGCTTGTGCCAAAAAATACTCCTACATCTGTCCTTTGCCCAGTCTTTGTTGTGCCCATCGCAGGATCAGTCAGAGCTGCTCTCGACAAAACTGTCCACGAGTCTGTCCTTGTCATCTATATGTGTAATCTTTATGTTACTTTTTAGTCGTTTTTTTCAATTTTGTGTTATCACCTTCTTCTCAACATTTGCTTTAAAATATAAGTTTATTTTGTTCCTTTTTATTTGGTGCAAGTTCTCTGCAACCTCCTTTAGTGACCATTCCAATCACTCGAATAAGTGAGTTGACTTTTGAAGGGTCGTGCTGTCAATCCAAACATAAGGTCTCTTTGGATTGGTGCTTTGGTGTAAAGTTGACCTTGGTGCCGACCAATCAAAATTGAGGACACTTTGGTACAGGCCAGAATGGTCTCTGAAACCAATCAAAACCGTTATTCAAGTGAGCAAAATTTTTCCTTTTGAGGAAACGAAAAAACTTTGGAATAATGGGAAAGCAGAAGGAAGTAATCCCGTCATTTCCTTTTTATTGTGAGATGTGATTCATTTTTATTTGGGACAATTAGTGAGCACGGGGGCGGAGGGAAGGTATGACAAATTTAGCATTGTTAACTTTAGTGAGGTGAATTTCGAAACACTCGGTGAATTCTTTGGCGTGATCAAGCTGAACAGATGACGAATAGATTTGGTGTACTTTTCCTAAGATGATTTTTGGGACTTAATGAACAACACACGGCTTGATCCACCGAAAAAAAAACGCCTGGATGAAGAAGTCTGCGTCAAAGTTCATGTTTAACTAACCATTCTAAGTCAAGGATGTGAAAACGCAATCCTCGAACAAGAGGATTTTGGAAGGGACTAAGTGTTTGCCCACCGTTTGCAACACTGAGGTGGGAGGAACTACGATCCCATTTGAAGCAATCAACTTTGGTGTTCTGATAGCCGAAGCAGTTTGGAGGAGGGGAGGTGGGGAGGTGGGGAAGGGGAGCGAAAGCGGTCAAAAGAAGAATGTGTCCCGATTCTAGGTTTCAGACTGATCTATCCCACAGAACTTAATGGCTGGTGCGGTTGGCTCCTGAATGCCGAATGGCCGAATTTTGGGTCTACGCAGCCCAAACCTCATTCCCTTCACTTTTCATCTTAGATAAATGATTTCGACCCTATTCAATGCCTTCTTCTACCAAATGGAAAGTGTCGGCACGTTACAGTGCCCCTGTTAAAAGCAGTCCAACTTAGTTGGAGCGCTAAGGTGGAATGAGTTGCGGTTCCGTTTGAAGCAATCAGCATCGATGTCCTAGGAGCCAAAACAGTCGGAATGAGAATGTGAAGGAAGAAGGGGAAGTCAGTGACTATTACTTTGTCGTTGCATTGCGTACCTCTCACAATTCGCCTCATTTATTACAGCATAAAAGAGCTACAATAGTTACCTTACTGTCGTGCATTCCTCCGACAAATCGCCTTAGAAGGCAAAGCTGCCAAAAGTACTGTCTTTACCCATTTAATAGCTCCGTGCTAATTCCTCGGAATTGGCATTACTACTGTCCATGAGTGTTACATAATTTGGCAATTTAGGGTTCCCTTATGTGTTTTCCCTTTTTGAGTGGCTGACCCAAGAGTACTGACTTTGGATTTCCAGTCTTCGGAAGCCAAGTTGATGTTGGGACAACTAAGAAAACCTCGCGTGTGTCCCTAAGCTACCAATGACACTGCCAATGTCTCAACATCATTGCCAATCTGTCAAACCTTGTGTTTATAAACCTGCTTTCTCACTTTACAACTATTTTCGCAAGTACTGCCTTGCATTAAACATTGTAGTGATCTCAGTCCTAGCATGGTGGGTGGTTTATCTCACCCTCATCAAATGATCTCTCCGTTAAAAATTTAAACCTAAAAAGCTACAGAAGTGATCAAAACACCATAAACTCAATATGACAAAGTTTGCAATGCAGTAAAAGGCACGACTGATAGACAGTAGTCAGCAACAATAAGCACAACTTACATAGCTCGACCATTCTATCCTCCCTAACGGTGTAACTTATCATCTGGCGGGCATTAGTGGCAGTGCTGCTGTTTACGCCAGACTGTGCACGAAGGAGAGGGGAATCTGTGCGTGTTATTTGGCAGAAGAATGCTGGCACACACGCGCCGTGGATGTTTGGACCGAGCGCCCTTCTTCTGATTGGCCAATAGCCAAACGAGGCAGCAATCACTGGCTTATAAAGTGTGTGCGTGCAAGGCTTGTACGCGTCTCTTCACAAAACGGTGCTATTCGGGTAGGCCCTCTCTTCTCCTTTATTCTCCTCTCCTCTCATCTCCATCCTTCCAACTACTCCTTTCCGGTAGTTTACATTATTATACTGGTTAATTATGTGTGTAAAGGAGTTTTTGAGGGAACCGTTCTTGTTGGAAAAAATTATTTAATATTGTAATTTAACGTTGTTAGTCGATAGGACACCAATCCGCCCACCTACGTGTTATTGAATAAAAGTAAGGCAATTTTTCCTTTGCTTTAACTTTGAAACACTTCGCCAAGGAAAAAAATCACTATGTACAAGGCGTATTTTTCAAAGAAGGGTTTTTTTTACCCAAAAGGGCAATTTGGGCGGTAGTATGTTGGCCAATTTTTTTTGTCCATCATAATTTTGCCCTCATCCACCATTGTAGTACCTTGAGTCGACTGTATAGAACGCGAAATGGGTGGTAATATATGGATGTGGTTGTGTAAACATTCACCTCAGTGGAGTACCTTTGTGTTTAGACTAGGCGAGATAGCGATGCACACAGATACAGGAATTTGGCATTAGCATACCAAGCTTGTGCCTTTGTACTTCCAGTGTTGAACTTACCTGGGGCGGGCTGTGGGGCCTGCGCTTGCCTTTTTTGCCCAAATCCGTAATAAACAGGACTTTTTAAGGAGGGTCTAAATATTTTTAAGATGAAGCAGTGAAGTGTCTGGATAAACACCAAATTGGCATTTGATAGGCGCCCCAAGGCAGTAAAAACACGCCTATGAGACAGTGGAAGGATTAGGGTTTTGCATGTGAAATTCCCTAGCCTTTGGCATAATTCACTCCAAAATGGCTCATTCTTGTTTATGTCATGGACAAAGTAAAATCTGTAGCATCATCATTTATGCTTAAACCACTCATTTCAAACGCCTCCCTCTCCGTATCTAGATGATTGTTCCCGATTTGTGGGTTTGAGTGCGAATTTGTGGACAACCGCTTGAATTGCTCGTAAGATGTCAACTTTCTCATGTACACCGACACTTATGGCTAAAATTCGTTCTATACTACAACATGGCTTAAAGGTGTACACGAACAGCACAGCGTTGCGCTCCGTGGTGTGGCACTCTAAGATGGCGATGTTGATAAATCCATCCCAACCTCTATTCCTCGTTTTTCCAAATGATAGCCCATTAAAATTTGTGTAGTGGCTTTCCCCATGTCTTGACAACAGCAGAAATCAGCTACATAATACGATTTATATTCTAGTCTAATAAGAAATAAAAATGTAATAAAACTATGGTTACAGCCCAGTTTATTGTTTCCGGGAGTAAACATCTGGCAAGGGTGGGATTTGTGCCACTTGAAGAGGGTTTGTGCCACCAGAAACTACATTAACTTATGCTATTATGTGATACTAAATCAAAATGTAGTAAATCATAAACATCAGTCCCACGGACTTGAGCATGCCATAAATTGTTATACTTTGCGTATATTGACACGAAGGCACAGATGATACTCCTTGCCAGTTGGTGGAAATGGCAGATGGTGAAAAAAATTGCATACAACTTATTTCAACCTTAAGAATGATCTAACCAAATATTTCACATTCTGACGTTTATTTGGTTCTATTAATTGTGCCTTTCTTTTCCTCTTCGTAGCTACATACCGTTTAACTTTTACAATGCCTGTTGGCTGTTTTCCTTCATTTCGTCGGAAAATAAAGAGTAAGTTTCCTCGCCTCTGATTGGCTGTTAAAAGTAGAGACTGTAAAAAATTATGCCAACACTTTATACTATAGATAATTCGATGTATAATAAGAGAATCCTAAATCTACCAAGAATGCCTTTTACATAGGCAGCCGGGCAGGTAGTGTAATCACTTAGGTTGTCTGAGATTGAATATGATAAAATTGAAGTGAGAGTAAGATGCAACGTCCATTTCTAGAGTTTAATAAGGGGAAGGCCCCCTTATCCAAGAAGGAAGAAGCTAAGAATGATGTTCCTCATAAAACTCCCCAACAAACTGAGGCAAATAACCACGCTGAAGCAAATGCAGAGGCTTCTATCAAAGCAGAACAGCAAGTTGAAGTAGCTCATCATCATCTAGAAGAAGAGGAGGCACAAAATACCAATCAAAAAACTTTCGAACAGGTTGCAGAAGTCCATCAACCTACTGATAGTGCAGTCAACGAACTGGTTACGTCTTCGGAACCCATGGAACATAAAATCGAGACGGAGGAATCACACGAATGCAAGACCACATCACCAGGAACGGCAGTCGTTGAACATGAGGAAGCCGGTGGAATAGCTACAGCTACAGAGATTGAAACTTTTTGTGGAGCCCCCCCAAAGGCAGAGCATACGGTAGAGCACATGGAAGTTATTGAATCCGGAATTCCTCAAGAAACTGAACCCCCATGCGCTTCTCCTCCAACAGAGACGACTACGGAGCATCAAGAAGAGCTTCAATGTGAAAGTTTTACACCAACAGAGGCGGCAATGGAAGTTGCTGCTTACCAAGAGCCTGCTGTTCCCCAAGAAATCGAACCTCCCTGCGATGCTTCTACCACAGAAGGCGTCGCGGTGGATCATCAGGATGAGCTGAAATGTGTAAGTGTTCCACCAACGGAGGAGATGGTGGAGGTTGCTACAAGTCAGGAGCCTATTGTTTTCCAAGAATCTGAAGCTCCATGCCAGGTTTCTTCCACAGAAGTCATCGCGATAGATCATCAAGAAGGGCTCCAATGTGAAAGCTGTACACCGACAAGAGAGAGAATGGAAGCTACTGCATACCAGGAGTCTGTTATTCCCCCAGAACCTGAGCCTCCATGCGATGCTTCTCATACAGAAGTTACCACAGAGCATCAAGGAGAACTTCAATGCACAAGTGTTCCACCAGCGGAGGATATGGTGGAGGTAGCTCTATGTCAGGAGTCCTCCGTTCCCCAAGAAGCTGTACCTCCATGCGATGTTTCCTCCACAGAGCATCAAGAAGAGCTTCAATGGGCAAGTGTTCCACCAACGAAGGAGATGGCGGAGGTCGCTGTAAGTCAAGAGCCCACTATTTCCCAAGAAGCTGAAACAACATGCGATGTCTCTTCCACAGAGCATCAAGAAGAGCTTCAATGTGCAAGTGTTCCACCAACAGAGGAGATGGTTGAGGTTGCTACAATTCAGGAGCCTACTGTTCTCCAAGAAGCTGTACCTCCATGCGATGTTTCCTCCACAGAGCATCAAGAAGAGCTTCAATGGGCAAGTGTTCCACCAACGAAGGAGATGGCGGAGGTCGCTGTAAGTCAAGAGCCCACTATTTCCCAAGAAGCTGAAACAACATGCGATGTCTCTTCCACAGAGCATCAAGAAGAGCTTCAATGTGCAAGTGTTCCACCAACAGAGGAGATGGTTGAGGTTGCTACAATTCAGGAGCCTACTGTTCTCCAAGAAGCTAAACCTCCATGCGATGCTTCTCCTACAGAAGTTACCACAGAGCATCAAGAAGAAGTGCATTGTGAAAATGTTCCACCAACGGAGGAGGCAACAGAAGTTGCTATATGTCAGGAGTCAACCGTTCCTCAAAACGCTGAACCTCCTTGTGAAGCTGTTCCAACAATTTTGGAGCACAATGAAGTTAAAGAATTCTCAGATCTTTCAGAAATACACGATGTTCAAGAAACTCTCCAAAGTAAACAAGAAATGTCAACTCAGGTTAACGAAATAAATCATCAACTCAACAGTGAGGAGGAGCACAAGGATGTTCAAGACTCCTCCTCTACAATCCATGCTAGTGTTTTGCCAAAAGGATTTTACTGGGCAACAGTATCAACACCACTGCCAGAAGGTGCGATCGACATTCATGAATTGCACCTTCCAATGCACGTGGGTTTAGTCGAGACCGAGAAGGGGGAGGTTCCATGCAAGTACCTCGTCACGAAGGGGTCTTTCTATGTCGGAATTGATGGAAGAGAAGAGAGTTTTACACATGGCAAAATCCTCTGCTTGGATCCAAACATGGCGTGCGTTAAGCTTTTTATTCTCTTTACATCATTAAGAAAGTAAAAACTAAAGTTAACATTCACTCTTTCCTGTGATTAGTGAGTCAATAGAAATTGAATGGGTCCACGCCAGCACTCCGGACATTCGATCAAGGAACCTTGTGGCTGGAACCCGGGATGTCAATGGAAAACTATTATACATTGCTCGAGGCATGATTCCTCTCATCGGTCCTTATCCCTACTACGAGCTCAGTTCTGGATGGGTAAATGTTAACACCTCAATGTGCTCTCTTAATTGTACCATAAAGGGGAGAAAAAATATGTTTAAGTTCAAACACCACCGACCTCAACGCGATTGGTGGACTTAAGTGACCTTGAAGTGGCGACCCCCTCCCCCTTTTTTTTGCTACTTGAGGCATTAGCATCAGTCAGTGAATGCCTTACCTTCCCTTTAAGTCTTTTATACTATTTCATGTCTTAAAGGTTGCCGAAGATCTCGAGTTTGCACACCTCCCTTTTGGCGGTGTGGAGTGGAAACAACACGATTTCGATGTGTTGGCTTGGAAACCGAGGCACTGTTAATGCCATCTTTTACCTGTGACTACGCAATCCAAACTGACTGACCAACTTTCAACTGCCATATGAAGCTGCTTTAGAAAATTGATATTTTTTGTGCCTTCTCAATAAACCGCCTTACTACAATGCTTTCAACTTCGTTCACTGCCATCTTGATGGCCTTCTTAAGTGCGGTTTCCGTCATTTTGATGCTTTATTTGTGATGGTGAGAAAACTTTTTTCTTTTGGACCACTTTTAAAAAAGCCACATCCACCGACATTTTCTTTCGTGGAATTTGATTTCTGAAGAAAGTGTAACAGAAGTGTCTCTCACCTACATGAGGATGGCAGGCTCAGAGTTTTCGTGAATTCTAATGTAAAATTAGGATCAGTAAAAGTACCACACAAAGTGTCCGTGCCACCAACAATTGTGTTCTGGTTTGGTTGATGCCAATGCACTGTTGAAATACCTTATTTAATTGACTGCCTGTACGACTGGCGGCCGCTTCGGTATCCATCTTCGTTTATGGCTGCGTAGGCTGGTCTTCCCCTCTTCCCCTCTAAAATACATGCCTGCAGTCCTCTTGAATGCCTTCCTCCACCGAATGTGAAGTCTCGGGAGGCCACGCCGGTAAATTTGCGTTATGGACTCAAGTTAACTGGTTATACGATACGCCAACTGGTCCAAACAGATACATGGCACCTTACTGTCAGTAAATGCTACCGTCTTGAGTGGAAAACCAAGGAATTCTGTGCGCATACCACCTCCCACATCAGTCGGATGACAAAATTGGTCCTATTCATCGAGCAAGCATTTACATTAACTTGTACACTCCTTAAGCTAATTTGTTAATTAGTCATTTTAGCTAAGGTATTTATGAGAATTTCGACTTAACAATCGGGTCGTAAAACTTGCAAAAGAAGAAATTTTGTGCAGAATGCTATAACCTTGCAATTGCCTTGGAAAACGCGAGTTTTGCAGGTTAAAAGGGTCGTCTCCTCTACCATTCCATTTCTAGTATTTCATTTGGATGGGTGTTGGAGCTAACCCACCACCACAATTTCGACAGTATAAGTGAAATGTGGTCACTTTAAATGCCGAATTTTAGAGGTATCGATCTAGTTATTTCATCTTCGAGAATGGTGTCCATCTTAACTCCTACCATCATTACCATAGCACCACAGGATATGTTCAAGCACCGGCGTGGCGCCAATCCAGAAGCTGATTAACCATAGAGTCAGCCTATACGCATAAAATTACCATTTGTAGGACATGGGCCAAAAAAGGGTTTCAAACACTCACACTTAAGCGAAAATCTACGAAGTCACGAATTGCCAATTTCAGCAATTGCTTCTTCAGTAAAAGTAAAGGAGCGACACGATCAATTTGGTGAGTTCACTTGTCTCATGGATGCGAACAAGTACATGAAAATTAGGTTTACTGGTGTGATACACACTTTTGAAATCCTTTCCATAAACGGTACATCAACAGTTATAGAACAATTGGTCATCTTGGGATTACCAAATCCGAAGTCAATGCTTTAATCAGCAATCCAAATTTTCAACCACGACTTTAAAGACTAAAAGCGGCTTGAGTTCTATGCCGTAATCTGATTGAGAAGTAATTCGAAGTCGAATCAGATCCATGCGGACCGATAACTAAGAAACAAACCTAAAATCATTTGGCGTTGGAAGCCATCTAGATTGACTGCTACATCCTCCAAATGGCGGTAAGAAGTAAAATTTACAACCCATATCGAAATTAGCACCTTTCAGTTGACGCTGACTAACTATGAATTTGAACGAAATCGATATTGAATCCGCTGCAGTTATGGCGTTCAGCCTTGAGGTGGATAAAAATACCTATCCCATTTACGTAGGCTTTGACGTTTGTGTATTCTATCAGAATGGAGAAAATGGAAATCATGTCTGTACACTTTTCCTCCTTTTTTAAATTAGCACAAATTTACTGTTAAATATTTCCACCTTATAACGCACTGCAGATATTTTTCCGTAATTTCCAATTTTTTACATCATTCCGGGGAAAGGTGCTATGATATAATTCAGGATTACGTGTTTGAATTTCCACTCTCTTGCAGTGTTCGTGTAGCAAGTTTTGTGTTTTGTTCCACCTAGGCTTGTGGTTGTTGTTTCAAATAATGATGCTCCATTTAGTGCAAGTGAAGAATCGGAGCTCTACCTTGGTCAATATGTGCATCGCGACTTGTTTTTTGTCACTTTTGACAGCCCAGATTCATACGAGTTAGTTCATTCAAATATGTATTTTGTATGTGGGCTTCGTATTTCACTGGTACTTGTGCATTATTCATTATTTTATGCTTGAAGTGGTTTGAGTATTTCTTGTCCAAGTCGCTTATTATTCGTGGTGTATACCCATTTTCAAACGTTCCTAGTTGATTTAAGAGATAGTAAGTAGTTTGTCATTATTCGTAATACACGTCGTATTGTAACTCTCGAATTTGCCTGGCTTATTTTTCGTTAACGTCGAGTTGAATTAGCTCAGTCTATCTGTTTCGTTGTCGCCTCGATTCACAAGTAGTTTGGGTGCATTTAGCGTCGTCACTGTTTCGAAGAACTTTATGGTAAAAATCCTTCAGTTCTTTTCTTTCGTAAACTTGTTAATTTCTTTTTCGTTGCTTCTGTTTTGTCTATTTTGTAATTCTATTTTTGCAGGTCGAATTTGATGCATCTTCCGCTATTGAAGATGGTTGCATCACCTTCAGAAAGGGTATTCGAGCGTACTCTTGACCATCAATCATCTGAACGCGACATCGTTGACTTCAGCACTCGCGATTTCAGAGGTTTGAAGTAGTTGGAAATCCGCTACGAATGAGGCACCTATCCGCTGTGATTTGCATTACCATTAGGGCATGGGTGCATTTTCGAGGGAAGGAGAGGAGGGGGAATTTGGTAACCCGTTGTTGGGCGCAATCATGTGTGCATTTGCATTTAAAACTCACTGATCTGTCGCTAATCGGCAAAATTACTGAAATTTATTTCGCATTCTTTATATGTGGTGGAGTTTGGCCTTTGCCTCAACGGCAATTGGATGGGAATAACTTTGTAGTGGGGATAATCTTTCCAGTGTCCTCTGTGGTCTGCTTTGTCACACAGTTCTCGGTTTTGCTAGGTTGTCTTGTTCAGACCGTTGGTACGTCTGTTCGATGCTAGTGGGTCAGGAACTCTGTTTATCCAATCAGCCCTCTTTGATGGTTGTGACAACTTGTTCACTCTTGGAGTGTACTTGTTTTGGTTCTTCCTCGTAGGGAATGACTGACCCTTTTTAATTACCCTGTTCGTTCGGTTAATTGAACTAGAAGGGGGATGTTTTTGTGTGGAGGAAGTGATTTTGGTGATAGGTCAAGCGAAGTAGGGTAGTCGTTGCTTGTCGGAGCACATCCGACTCGACCCGTGGCGAAACGGTAGAAGTCCTAGGACGCTGGTGGGAGCATCTTTACGAAATCGGGAACGAGAATACATTCCTTCTAAAAATTGTGCACTGTAAAAGAGGTGGTATATTTAGCTGCTAGGAAGTGCGTGAGGGTGTCATCTCGACCGCTTGGCAGACCGTTCACAGCGTCCGATGGTGGGATTGACGCAGTAGTTTTCTCCATTCACCAGTCTCATTCAGGACTAGAAAGGAATTTCACTTGTTAAAATGTGTAACGACGGGCTACCAGGAATTCACCGGCAAAAATGCACATAAACGTGAGTTTTGTCGAAGTCTCTCTTATAAAAGCACTTTTAAGAACCAAACTCAACAAGGCAAATGAGACAGGAGGGCGCTACTGCGCTTATCACCGGATGGCAACTGGGTTGGAAATAATGAAGGATGTCAGCTGTCCAGTTGCATGCTGGTATGAGGAGTTACAAATATCTGGTCTTGCATGCGAATACAGATCCTCTTTCTCGCCGACTGTTTATGTCAGGTATTTCTAACGCAATGGTGGATACCCTATTTCGGAGTGAGTCCTCCAGTCACCACTGGGAAAGCACGTGAAATCCAGGATCTGATATGGCTCTGCTATACCATGGGTTACGGAAAACTTTAAATGCTCCCACAGTGAGTGAGGTGAACTTGACAAAAAAGGCAGTCAGATAGATACTGCGAAAGCGGTCAAAAGTGACTCTGGAAAATAAGGTTTTATGGTATTACGACGACGCTGCGTGTTCCATCGCACAGCACCGCACCGTACCATACAACATGGAAGGCAGCCCCCAAAGTAGCACTGAGGACAGTGCACAAAAATGAGAAGCCCTATGAAATAGATTTGAGCTGTTTCAATGTACTATGCGGCAGATAGAAAATCAGATCCAATGAAGTACCCAGGGAGGGGGGCAATAGTCTCTCAAGCCTAGATATTATCTCGGCATATTTCCTACTTATTTCGCAGTTATTGTAATGATATGGCAAATAAATCCCCCCCCCAAACAACCGACAGTCGAGAAATTTGTTGTGAAAGAGGCGGAAAGTTGTTAAAAGTAAACCGATGGTCGCAGTTGCTATTGGCAACGATGGTAGTGCAATAAAATATTAGTTAAGTCCAGTGCGGTTGTCTGTTATTCTTCCTCTACGGCGAAGATAGATCCTAAAAAACAATAGAAATTTTTAATAAATAATAGTTTTAGAATTTCGCAAGACAAAGCATACTCAATTAACCTTAACTTAAGGCCAATCTTCATTCCAGCGTCACATGAAGCAAGCAAACATGGTAAGTAGTGGGGAAGTACGGCAATGTTGACAAGGAATTTAACCAATTCTCACATACCTAAGGTTATTCAAAAAGTAGGCCAGAAAGCAGCATAACTACAAACTAGTCGTTGTTTATGCGGCCACGCAATGTCTGGCGGCTACTTTGAATTCGTCTAAGTCCTGTGCATGCAGTCTGGTCTTTGGGTCAGGTTAAGAGTTAATCGTCCTTCTTCCCTTTAGAATACATTTGTTCAGTCCCATTTAATGCCCCCTTCTAGCTGGTGAGAAGTCTGAGGATGTTGTAACTCCATAGTGAAAACGGAATGCGAATAAATTAAACTGCAATGATGCGCGGGCAAGGGCAGCCAACTAATTTGAATAGAGGGGTTGGGGAGGCGGTGAGAGCTACGGAGACGCCGTCTATCTTTCAGCAAGGTTGTTCAACATGAGTTATGGGGATCAACCTTACCATGGTAGACACATTATTAGGTTGATTAATATATCATGAAATAGGATTGGCTTGTCATGCTAACTCACCTACATGCAGACACTGGCGCAAAATTGTTTTAAATATAGTTAATATTTAATATGTCTGTCATGCAATTATTTGTTTCATTGTGCTGGTCTGAACGCGTTTATTTGTAGCTGGGTTTATTGCCGTTGGCTTAATGATGATACAGAATAATTAATGAGGTCGTTTGTGAGCATTCATGTCTGATTAAAAGTGAAACATAAGTTGAGCGGCAGCTATGTCTTTAGTCTTCCAGTTGTATTTTTTAGTCGTGTCAAGCTACTCGCTAGTATTTCAACAGATGCGTAAGTTGTTTTCATCAGTCTTCATCTGTCTACAATGAATTTTGTTTAAAGACTAATTTAGTAGAGACAGTTTGAGATCCACATTGCACGTAGTTACCATGCCACACGGTTATCGTGTTTTATGACCGTGGCAGCATCAGCTAAGGGCATTGTAATCAAATGCAGTTGTCTCAAGTGTAATGTCTGGTTGTTTGGGAAGATGCCCAACGAAATGGGCGCCCTTCTTGTACCCCAAATGCGTACTTGGCTTAGTCTCACTATACACTGGAGTCAAATAAGCTCTCACAACACGAGTTCATATAAGTACGCCGTGCCGCCGTGCCCACCCCAATATTGGTACTGTTTAGATACATTAGATGTGGCATCTTGATTCACCTTCAAGGCTACCCGACTCTAGGGGGGTTCAGCACCTGCTCCCTAATGATGGCAACCCAAACCCATAAATGCAGAACTCGAAAGTACAACAATGATTTAAAAGCACTTCTGTTGTAACGTTATAAGAACGGATATAACAATCAATGACGATATTTCCGTTACCGATGACTACCTCTGGGAGCTCCTCTACCAGCTCCACCACCAAAGGGGGGCCAGTTCTTGCGACGACCAAGAACACCTAGTGGAGGGCCAAAGAGACCGGGGACAGATGTCCCAGAAGAAGGGGCGGAGTACTTTCTGGGAACGTCTGATGATTCTGTCCACACAATAGGACGGATCTTCTGTTTGCTGGGGCCGGGTACCATTTCTCCGGCACCACCTGCTAATAAAAGGCGTGAATAAGCAATGGACTTAGGGTTTCAATTTTTGCTTGATGGGAAATTGCCAATCTGTCCAGTAATCCTACCGTACTGATTATAGGTGATAGTAACGATTGAAAAATAGTAGTGATAATTATTCTTACTTGGAGCAGAAAACCTCGTGAAGATTGAGGCAGATCCAGGAGCAATAGGTTGACGAATAGAACTGCTGGACTGAGGTTGCCGTGTCAAACCACTTGAAAAGGTGCTTCGCGGAGCAGAGGTCGTCATGCCTCCTACAAACGCATAGAATGTTTGTAATGACAGTTCCGCCTCTTCCCCACAACAAAAGTGATAGAGAGAACTACCAAAAAGTGAGGTGGGCTTGACATCAGTAGAGGCCACGGTTTTCCAATTAGAAAACAGTCCACCAGTTTTGGGAGGTAAGGTAGAGAAGAGGGAACTGGGAGGCTCAATACCACTTTGGGTGAAAAGTGAAGTGTTCTGTGATGAGGTAGATGCGACTGCAGATAATCGAGAACATTCTGTCACTTCGCCTTCAGGCGCCCTGTCCTCGACATCCTCTTCACCCTCCGTATCTTCATTTTGACTTTCCTCTTCGCCGCCACTTCTAACTACCTCATCACCTTCTCCCTCTTCTTCCTCCTCCTCCGCTTCCTCTACTTCGTCTTCGTTCTCCCCTTCCACATCTTCAGCATTGGATTCATCTCCGATCTCAACTTCCTCCTCTGCCTCCTCATCTTCATTGACCTCTTCGCCTAGAAGAAATACGGTAAATGCAAGAGTCATTACATCATTGAAGGTGAAGAAGTTGCTGATCTCAATTAAAACTATTGCTAGAACTCACCGCTACTAAGAATAATCACTGGGATGTTGGTTCCTCCCTCTTCTTCTTGCTCCTCTTCCTCATCCTCCACCTCCTCATCTTCATTGCCATCACCGCCATCATCATCACCCTCATCAGCTTCAAAGTCTGTTTGAACATCATTTCCCTCCTCCTCTTCCACTTCATCATTTGTATTTTCCTCCCCCTCCTCAAGCCCCTAAAAATGAGAAGTATTGATAAACGAAAATTGAATTGATCTAAAGATGCCCAAGCAGCCAATCAAGTCATCCATGTCCCAATGTTAGCATACACCCCAATCTAACTTTTGGTACAACATCACCTCCCGCATAAAGAAACTGAAAGGCGGATCTAACTTTGATAAAAATGACTAGTGCACTGGAAGTAGGCATCAAGACTACAGCGAAATGTTTCACAACCTGATTCATCCGTCCAGGCTGGTCATTGGAAGCCTCAGTGGAGAGACAGAAATCGTCTTGCTCCTCCCTTTCGTATTCAATACCAGTGTCCTCAACGTCATTAAAATCTGCAAGAGGTGCCTCATCACCCTCCTCAACTGGATCTCCCTCTGTTTCGCCCTCTTTTTCCATGTTTTCAATGTCATTCGCCGTCTCTTCCACCCCAATATCGTCTTCTGCAGCCTCGGCCTCACCTGTTTCATGTTAACAATGCAGAGTGACACGATGCTATTATACTCTATTTCTTATCAGCAGTAAGTAACAAACATACCGGTAATCGCAGGAGACGCAATAGTGGTAGCTATTGGAGGGGTGTTAACCATAGGCACCGATAGCATAGGAGTACTGCTGATGGCAGTAGAGGAAGAAAACGTGGTGGGCTTAAGACGCTTCGATACCTGAATGTCAGACGAGGCAGAAGCGGCTGGAGGGAAGGCGGTCTCGCCCTCTTCACTCTCTGTTGTTGCCACCGTCTGATGGGGTTCATCATTCAAAATTGCCTCATCGTAAGTACGTTTCGCAACTACAGAGTATCGAGAGAATGAAGTACCAGAACTAGTTAGGTCCTCAGAGGAAACACACGACGGACCCGCAACCGGTTGTAAAGCTGAAGGATACCTTGCGAAAGGTTTCATCGAGGCTAGAAATGGTTGCGGTGAATTAATGAAAATAAGAGAAATAAAACGCAAGGTGCGAACCAAGAGATCTATACCTGTAGAAAGTAACTGCGGATCTGTAGTTTGGACGCTTCCAATTACACTGACAGTAGTTTCACCAGGTTGAGTATTTAGAGGTGAGAGGTAGCTGTTGCTAGCAATACTAGCTTGGGGCTCCACAACGACTCCTGTCGTAGTGGTGGGAAGAACCGTGGCTACAAAGTTAGGCAGAGGACGAATTTCTGCCGTCTGCCTGGCAGCAGCCGAGAGAGGGCTTGGGGAAGCCGTGGATGGAGGGGACGTCTGCACAGGCTGCACTGTTGCTGCAGCTCGCAATCCCCAAGAAGCAGCCCCCGTAGATGTCGAGACAGCCGCTTTTGTAGCTGGTGCATTGCTCGTAGTCTCCGGCGATGAGGTTGGTTGATCTACTGCTTCTCCCTACATAGCAATCAAACTAACATAAGTACGCAGAGATGAATCTTCCACTTTCCACCATTTTATAGCCCTACCAAAGCTATGGTAGCAGCAGCAGAATTCGCGGTGTTGACGACTTCGTTGGAAGCAGCTGTCATGACCGATGCCAACTGCGCTTTCAGTTCATCGCATTGGCTTTTACTTTTAGCCAGTTGGGACTCAATTAGCTGCATACGGAGGAGTCGTTCTGATTGCTCCTCTGCTTGACCCCTCATACGATGAAGCTCAGCAACCATTGCAGAAAAAAGATGATTTAGACGATTATATGTGAATGAAGCGCGAGAAGATGTTGGTAAATTACTTCCGATCAGCGAATCCGTCGGTGCGGCCTTGAGGGGATCCAAATCAGGCAAGGACTGCAATCAAACAAATGCATATCAAATTTTCACCACTTGGAGAAAAAAACCAAAGCCCAATTAAAGGATGGATGTTTCAAGAGATGTTTACAAGGTCAAATTCGTTGAAAGCAAAGCGCTAACCTCAACGCGATCAATCAATTGCTGAACGTGATCCATTTCTTGCCTCAACATTGACGACTGCTCCTGCTCAATCTGTAGGTTAGCTTGGGCATTCAAGAGGTCTGCACGAACAGCAATCATTGCCTCCTCAGTTGTCTTGATGTTCCTTTCTAAACAATGCATGAAAGTAAAGTAGGCATGAGTAGTAACCTTGTTCCTGGGTGCTGGATAGTTGACGTTTTAATTCATCTGCCTCTTGACGATACTTGCGCCCAATCTCACGAAGCTTCGTGATCTTCACTTGCCTCTTTGACAACTCATCTTCTTGCATTTTGCATTGTTCCCTTCAATAATGAATTAGCCCGTTACTTTTGCAAAGAAAAATGAAACCAGCGTGTCACAACAAAAGACCAGTCCCAAGTCTGCCTTGGATGGGTGGAATTTAGTAAGACCAAAATTACAAAAGTACTCACTGAAGAGATTCGAGCTTTGCAGTAAAGCTCTTGCCTTCAGATTCACGTTGAGCGAGACTAGATGAGATTTCCGCTGTCTCCTGTTCAAGGGCGACAATACGAGCCGTTAATTCCCGCTCCACAGTTGCTTTTGCCTCCTCCGTAGCCTCTAAAGCAGCCTGCAACTGGTCCCGAGCATTGCTTAGAAAAGATGGTGAAAAAAAGATGTGCCCACCATAAGGTCGTAAGAGTTATAGGCGGCTAAGCAAGAAGCGCAGCGATTATTGAACGTATATGTCCAACCTATTCCGTGAAATAAACAATTGTCTTAGGTACCCAGTTAACCGGCAACAAAGGAATTACCAATGTATAAACTATGCACCATAACTACGTTGTGTAACACCTCGCGCAACTCATAGGCACAAAATGACAACCGCAAATTTCGCTGTCCCTGAGAAATGGATACTAATTAAGATGCTCGTGCTATGGACTCATGATCACCATCTCGTACAAATCTTGAGTATGATAAAGATGGGTCAGAAAACTAATAAAATATCGATTATCGATCCAAACATAGCGATCACAAAAGTAGGCAAACGCACGAACCAAGCCTGCTTGTATTCCTCGGGATCCATTCGCTTGGAGGTCTCCACAAGGCGCGTGCAACGCTCCTTCCACCGATCGCGTTCCTCGGCAAGCGAATGCTTCTCCAAAGCTAGAATCTCCCGCGCGTCCTCTAATTCTTTGCATTGCCTACGAAGCGGTTCCATATCTCTAGTCAAAGCGGCCAGCTGTGCCATAAAGGATTTAGAAACGTCAATTTAGATATGAAGTCATTCTTCGTACACAAGACGGTAGCTTCACCAGCAAAGTAAAAAAAAACAGTCACGAGTAAAACATGAAACAGTGACGCAACACAGAAATACCTGATCTTCTGCTCGAACTGCTGCATCACGGATCGCCTGGCGCTCCTGCCTTAGAAGGCGATTGGATTCGTTAAGCAAGTTGACTTGGTCAATTTGCTTCATAAGGTTGGCATGTTGACTAGAAGTCTCCAGCTGGACCTCGTTTCGTCGGCGCTCTTCTGCCAGCTTTTCCTCAAGATCAGCAACTTGCATCTCCAACGATTTGGTGCGTAAGTGCAGGCGACTCACTTCTGCGTTGGCGGACTCTTCTGCCGCCTCGGCAATCGACTTTTGTTTGCGGAGGTACCTAAGGGATCAGCAGATTACATCCCTGTTAACGTCATAACCGAAGGATCATAGCGACACAGAGAGGAGAAAAGGAGCCACATCTCACTCTAATAGGTGTATAAAGTCCTCAGATTCTTTAATCTGTCCACCTGACTCTTCCAAGGAGAAGGACTGATCAGTGGAGCGATCCATTAATTTGCGAAGACTCACTATTTGCTCCGTCAGCTAAACGATACAGCAAGAAAATATTAACAAACCCAAACATTAATAAAACTCTCGATTAAATAAGCAAAATATTTTCGCAGATTAAAATGGAACATAAAGCATCCTTTAAAGTCACTGTCGTCAAAGGCCATTAATAAAAGCATACATTACGGCTGCAACCAGCTTATGATAAAAAAAAATTGAAAGTAACGATGATACCGTCAGAATCTGATCCTGGAGGCGACTGATCTCCGCATCGGCGTCCTCCACCCGCTTAACTAGACGTCCACGTGACTCCTCCCAGAGGCTAGTCTGAAGTGTTAATTGCTCTTCTGATTGCCTTAACGATGCTTTAGTCGTCTCTAGGGTAACTCGAAGAGTTTCAGCTTCTGCCCGTGCTTCGTCAGCTAACTTTCTAGCCTCCGTCAACAGTTGTACATCCTAGTGGCATGAAGCGAATCCAATATTGTAAACAATAACAAAAGAAAAAAAAGATTGCGAAATCCCAAGTAAAAGTTACTGCCCTACCTGCGCATGGAGACGGAGTTCTGTTTCATACTTCTCTCTAGCTTCCTGGGCCGTTTTCCTATGGGCAACGACTTCGGAGTGAGCTGACGACTCTAACTTGAGTGCGGCCTCCTGACGCTCCTCCGCATTCCTCAGTGATGTCTGTGCTGAAGTCAGTTCTTCTCGCAGCTTCTTCAGCGAAGTCTTATATTCTTCAGTAAGAAGCGTCTTCTCATGTATCAGGTCATGACGTTCACTCTCCTCCATGTTCAGCTGCAAGCTGAGCAAATCACAACCTTAACCGAGAAAAAACACACAGAGGTTGTGGAAAGGACACGATGAAGTTGATTAGAGACGTTTATAAACTAAAAAAAGAAGCAAGTTACGTTGATTGACGTCTTCAAGTTCTTGCATGTGAAAACGCTCAAGATCCTTCCGTTCCTCTGTAAGTTTGGCAATATGAGCCTCCATTTCGATGCCCAACTGCTTGTACTCGTCGCATTGCTTACGGGCTGCCTCAAGGGAGACGCGAAGAGAAGCGCACTCATGCTCCACATTTCGCAACTGTATAGTCATGGATTGAGCTCCATCACCTGAAGTGACATCAGTCAACACGGACTGGTCATTTGGCGGCAGCGAAGATGATTGCGATTGAAGATCCGAAGGTCCTATGAAGCAATCAAACGCTAAATTCGAACCAAACGAGGAGGCATAAGAGCCGTAATCGTAGCTTATCCTTTCATAGAGCGGAGATAATTGAAATATTTGGTATGGATAAACGTGTACCGGATATTCCAGTGTGTGAATCCGTTGGAGACGACTTCTTAGTAGCAATTGCTGCTCGCAGTTGCGAAGCTTCATCCTCAGCAATACGAAGCGACTGTCTAGTGTGCGAAAGTTCTGACTGTAGCGTTGCGTTAAGAGATAGCAACTGCTCCTGCTTGTCATCAGAGGTCTTTTTTAACTCTTCAAGTTTAGCCTCTAACGTCTCTATGTGACGAGTAGCCTCTCGCGCTTCCGTCTCACCCTGATGCTCCAAATAGGTCTGAATTGACTGCAGCTGATGCATGAGGTTCTCATGCATAAGAGTAGTCTTTTGAGCAATTTCAAGTTCATGCGAAAGACGCGCCTCATTAGCCCGAGCATGCTCCAGTTGACGGATCAGTTGACGACATTCCACCTCGGTGGCCGCCAAACGATCGCTAGTGCGTGCAGATTGTTCACGCAGTGCAGCAAGGGCTTCATCACTCGCTGCTGCTGAGGTTGTGTAGCGCGCATTCATTTCACGCAGGATGGAAATCTCTTGCTTGTAGTTGGCCACGTTAGACTCCAAGGTACGAAACTTCTCATGAGTGAAGTCCAGCTAATGTGGGAATTAAAAAAAACCTGTCGGGATCGAGTGCACAAAGATAAAATGCGAAACAGGTTGAAAAGGGTTGAGTGCACTTATGACTTACTCACCTGGGCTGCCAATTTTTGGTTAAGAATTCTCGCTTCAGTAGACTCCTTTCGCAACTTCTCAATCGTATCCGTGTAGACTTCGTCAGACTTCGCTTTGTCTTCGCGATACTGCTTGAATTCAGTATGCAAAGAGCACAGCGACTCTTCCAGTTTCAATATCGTTTGGGGTTGATGCAGCACTTGTGTCGAACCGCTGTTCCCATCCAATGTAGATATTAACTGATCTACAAGTGCAAGAGATTAAGAATTATAATGGCTAACTTCGCCAAATATGTAGAAATGGGAGAAATTAACTACTTACTATCATGAACGAGGACAATTGCATTATCATGAGGATTTTTAGCTGAATCATCACGCTCTCGTGACGGTGATTCGTCGTGGGAAGGAAAATCCGGTAATGGTATCGCATGACGTCGGAGTAGAGTCTTATAAACATCGCGCTGGCGTACAGCAAAGCTAGCTTCTGATCTCGCCTCTGAAGCGGCTAAGCGAGCCACGTCGACTTCGCCTGAAAGCACCTCTACCTTGGCCGTGATTTCAGCTACTTGAGTATTCAAAAGATCCTTCTTAGATTCATGATCCTCTAACTGAGCTGCCAAGTCCCTTGCAACTAGAAGAAGTCGCGTGTTCTGCGTCTGCAAATCTGAGAGGCTACGAAAGGTAACCAAATTGTTGTCGATTACTGAGGCAGCAGTTGTGCTATCATTCGAACAGAGACTGAGAAGCTTGCGGCTGTCAATATCACCTGTGCTGCTATCGGGGAAGATTTGAATGTTTCCTTCCTCTGTAGATGTTATGACTGTTCCCCGAGCAGTTTCCAATTCATGAAGTAAAGTTTTCACCTGGACGGAAAGGTCCTTACAACTCTGTTTTAAAAGCTTATTTTGGCGCTGAAAATAGGCTGAGCGACGACGTTGATCTTCCGCAATATCATGTTGTTCCTTAGCATTCGCCAAAGCAGACGCTAACTGTGTCTCTAATTCCGCAACTCGGTCTCTGCTTTTATAAAAGGCCTCCTGTTGTGATCGTAGCAAAGGAGCCTTCTCCTCCAACTGCGTCATCATTTCCCGAATGTGTTCTGTCAGGCGTTCTTTGTCCAACTTCAGTAGATCCCTTTCTTCAACAACCTGAGTGGATAAAACGTGTAAAGAAAATGCAAATTTTAACATCAAGAAGTAAAAACAAGAGAAGAGTGCTGACCTGCACATAGTCCGAATATATTTCGGTGAGACTTCTTCCGCGTTTCAGAGAGGCTATGGTAGTAGCTACAGCGGGGTTGAGTCTTCGGAGTTCGTCTTCCGAGAGGCCTTGGATACGAAATTTATCGACGATTTCTCTTGCAGCGGCTAGCTCACGGCTAAGAGACGCATTTTCGGACACCAATTTATCCTTTTCAGCTGCTATAGCGTTGATAGCACTAGTTTTCTCCGATTGCAATTGAAATACATCTGTAGGATGGCAATATACACTTCTGATTTGTGAATGACTAAAGTTAGAAGAAATAAACACAAATAAACCATACGCTCATGCCCTTGCTTAAGCATCTCCTGCATTTCAGCCACGGCTTTTTGCATTTCTTCATACTTTTTCTCAACATCACTAGCCTGGTCCTTGTATAGATCCGTAAGCTTACGCTGAGCTTCTAGTTCATTGGCATGTAGTTGTTCCATATTAACGAGCTCATCCGTGCGCTAAGAAAAGTTATGAAGCAATAAAACTGCTACCAATTTCAGCTTTTCAATATGACCATCATTGGACTTCGTTAATTGGCTGACGAGATCCTCTAATTTGGATATGGTGGCTTCAGCATTCTCAAGCTCCGTCTTTTTGGAGACCAATTCCGATTCAAGGTTTAAAAACCTCTCCGACTACATGTAATTTGATAGCATCAAAAAATTTGTGACTCACGTTATCCCGTCGAAAAGATAGTAGTTTATCATTTGCTTTATGTAGTTCTTCTTCTAGCCAAAGATTCTGATTTTGCATAGACTCGCTTGTCTCCTGTAATCGCTTTTCACGGAGCTAAAGCAAACTGTGAAATTCAATCCTTGTCAATTACAGCAAGAAGAGCTTTTTCGGTTTTCACTTCCTCTAATTGAGTTATGGCATCTGACTTCAGACGTCGTGCTGATTGGACCTCGTTTTGGACCTCTCGTAATTCAGCAGATGTCTGTTCGCATTCTAACATCTTTTTGCTTAAAAGTTCGTTCAAGCTCTCCTTGTCATTTTCGAGACGTCTGATTACCAACTCAAGTTCGGTGGAGATAGAGAGACTATCAGCAAGTTTTTGATTCAAATCATCCCTTTCTTTTGCAAATTCTAAGCATTTGTTCTCTTCCTTGGCAAGAGCTTCACGAAGCGTGGTCAGGTTTCCGTTGACAGACTCGAGCTCACACCGAAGAGTAGAGCATTCCTTCTGCAGCTTATTTACTTCTTTTTCTAAAAAAAAATTAAAAATGTTTTACTCTTTCTTACTTTGCTCCTCCTCGCATCGTTTCAACCGGTCCCTTGCGTCATGGGCTTCATGCGATAAGCTGTCGAAGGCAATGGCCAAATTTTCCGCCACTCTTTCCGATAAGCTAAGGAGATCCTCCTCAGACAAGTGTGCAACCTGAATTAGTGCATCCATAAGGCGAAGAAACCTGGAGTAGGCCAAAAACCCAAATGAAAGCAGATATCACTCAAAGTTAGCAAAAGGGCGTTATTGTGGAAAAAGCCAAAAGAGAGAAAAAGGACTAGAAGCAACATCGTTTAAAATTGTTCAAGGTCATTGAAAATGCATAAATGAAAGCACAACATTCAGAAGAAAAGAGGTCGATCACAAAACCAAAGGCGTGGCTGCGCCGGGGTGTGACAAGAAACTGGACAGACACACCACACAAACACTACATACCCCACCTATGAGCGAATCTGACTAAGGCGGCTATTTCATAAGTCTAACAATTAACCTTAGCTTTCAAATCACTTATGCTCACATGCCTTTATTTCAACAGCATTAAAATTGAATAATTTTTCGCTTACCTGTTACTGTTAAGATACTGATAAAATATGAAGGCAATAACTTTTTATTTAAAGGGTTCAATTTCACAAAAGTAAAGCCTTTTGATACAAAGTTGCAATACTTATTCTGCGTGCATCAGATCGGCATGAATCTAGTGTTATGGGCTTCATTTCTTAATTTATAAAAATTTTACTACATTATTTACATTCTGGCGTAAAATAGGAAGAATTCGAGGCCATTACAATGCTCGGCGCGATATGAAACGTGCTATACTTCCTTTTCATTCGCTGCATCTGCCTCAACGCAACGCAACATTTATATTGCGGCGCATCCTAGCCTTAGGTTGCACTACCTGTCTGTGCACTTCGAACCCTCCGAAATTCTTCTTGGTTCGAAATGGTACATTGGTTCTTATAACACTTTTTGCATAGGATGAATCTATGTGCACAAAATTGGACTCGTTGTCTAATGAGGTTTGGAGATTGCACTCTAAACAATGGTCACATTTCAGCTGAACGTCACTAAATTGCAGCTTTCTAGCAAACGCCAAGCCATTGAGATTTTGTCGCAACAGCTCGAGGATGCCAAAAAGGAAGCTCATCAGTTTAAATTAATGTCGGAACAAGTAACGTGAAAGTTGATCTGATTAGTCCAGGTTCAAGAGCGCTACAGGAATTTAAAACAAGCGCTCACCTCTGAAACAGTCGCCCCTACCTTTGGCACCTCATCCCAACGAAAGTTGTTTATTAATGTTTGTCTTTTACTACATGTTCTCAGTCATTGTTTCTAGTTAAAGGTTAAGCTAAACGAAAGCGAGATGCATAATCGTATTCTGGAAACGGAGATAAGTAACTTGCGCAAGAGAAATGCAGACCTTTTGGAAGATATTAACCTTTTGAAGAAATCGATGGACTTCGGGTCCTCTAAATGCAAAGTATCACCTTCAAAAGAAAGGCTGCCATTCGAAACTCAGGCGCGGGAATCGTTGATTGAACAGCTTGAAATCAAGACCTTGGAGGTAGGTAGTTTTTTGTAACTGTCTTGTTCCTTTTTGCTTTACGTGGATTTTGTTGCATCTTTTTTGCCATAGTGCCAGCGGATTAAAAGGGACCTTGAATTGTGCAACGAAGAAAAGCAAGAGATTCTCTCTGAGTTGATTCATTTCAAGAAGTTAGACGAAATTGATGTGAATGGAGTAAACAACACAATTGATGTTGAGAGTGTTCTTCAGGAAAACAAGTATTGTTTCGTCCCTGTCTTTTGAGCCTCTTCTGTAGACTGCTCTATCGTCGGATCGGTAAGCTAGAAGCTGACAACAAACTATTGACGCAGGCTCTTACCAAGTACCAGGTAATTTTGTGACCAACGCTTTCGAATTTAATACTGCGTTGAACTATTAGAAACGTGGAAGTATCCACAAATTACGCAGATTTTCTACTGCTGACTCGACAGAAGGTAGGCGTTGTTCTGATTTGCTTTTCGTGTGATTCATTTTGTCATCCTATGCAAATCTTCTAAGGACATAAATAATGGTTTGACATGGATCATTGCCACACATTCCTTGTCCACAAATTGACATTTTTTGATATGCGATGCCAGATAAGAATAAACAAACAATGGGAATATGTGTGCCTTACTCTATATGCATTTATTCGTGGTTGATACTAGACAGCAAAAATAGTTTTAACTTGCTTTTGCTAGTAAACCTTTCTCGCCTACCTGTGGTTATGCCGCTTCAATGAATATAGCAACATCGAAGAGTAGGATACTTCCTAAGCCATGAGCTTTAGCAGTCTTGGCTTTTTTCCTGCATAGCCTGCCCGAGACTCGTGTATAACTTTTGCTCGCATATACTGGGTCCGGTTTTAGGCGCATAATGTTTGCTTTACGAATTAGAACAGCCTCAAATAGTTTTGCTCGTGTCCAGATCTGCACTCGTTCCTACTGTAGAGGTTTTTTTATGCATAGCAGTTTTTTTTTATTAATCTTTGCGCCTTCATATCTTAAGGCTGATTAGTAAATCTTTGTGAGTTAACCAACTTCAAGACCGGCGGAATCAATGCGTTACTGTTTTGCACCTAGGCATTGAAGTCTGTGGCAGACGGTCTGTCTGAAGTGCAATTCTCTTCCTTGCGACTGAATGAATCCCACAACCAAATCGTGTTTGATAACAGCCCATTTGCGCATCGACTACTTGCTGAATGTGAGGCTGTGATACTTTGCCAATTTTTTACTAATTTGTTTTTCTACCCATGTACGTGCATTGCGAACTCTGCTTTTGTCGTAACTCCGCCTGAACTTAGTCCACCCTTCTGTACCTCAGAATACAAATTTTCCGCACTGCCGCTGTCCTATAGTATTCTTGGGGACGCGGGTCTGATGTCAGTCTTGTGGGAATCCTTCCGTCCTCATTTAGTGAACAACTAATCGTGGCCCAAGTGTGGAGGCATAACTCCTACTTTCCATGCTACTGACTAGTGACATAGCAAGTCGTTGTAACTTGCAAAAATGAAGTCGGTTCGACTATCGGGCTGAACGTAGCTACCAAGTGAACGCACGAAGTGGGAAGCGTGACCCCTCAATCTAGCAAACGCAATGCACATCCGGACAGATAGCCATGCAGTGAGACGACTTGCAATCGGTTGGCAAACGGAGCAACAACGAGAAAGGACAGCTGCCCATTTCGTCCAACAGTGAACCACTCACATGGCGTACAGAGGCAGCACACCCCAACCACCACGGCGACTCGCAGGCAGATACGCCCCGCGAACAAACACAAAGGATGGTTGCGCGAACACCAATCCGTTACGTCACTAATTATCTATCCCAAAAACAACCAGCAGAAGAGCACAAGGTCACCAAGAACTACACGTAGGCCCGCCAGCGGGCAACACCGAGGCTTAGGAGCCAACAACCCCAATCCGTCAAAAAAATCAACCAACAAAATTAGAGCTAACCTAATAGCGATACAAGGTAATGTTTTCCGCTATGGGGATTTATTTGATGACGGAAGGGCCAATGGCGAAGACAGTGGGTCATATGCAAACCAAAGACAGCACCTCCTGCAACAAGCATGAACATGATACAGTGCCAAAGAACACGGTTATATGTAAAGTCAAAACACTTATACTGTGCCACAATGCACCCTCTGAGGACCGTCAGTGTCCTCTTCCATGTAGGCTTCTTGGTGATCATTTGTGGGACTTGAATACTCCTCGATAGGATGAAGCTCACAATATTCAGCATCTGGATCTATTTCATCATGGGGTGAAAATGGGAGAATCTTCCTCAAAGCCTCCACCTTATCCTGGCTTAGGGAGTCTGGGAAGTTAACAAAGAATTTGATGATCAGCCGCCCGCGCTCAAACGGATTTTTATATCGCGGCATCCCCTCGTTGGGAATACAACGCAGTTCATTAGGCTTTATGATCTCTCCAGGTTTTGTTTCAACCACCAGTTGCCGATCATCAAGTGTCTTTATAACATGGCGAAAGCCTGCAAGAGCCTCGCCCACTGTGATGAACATGGTGTAGATGAGATCCATTTTTCTCCTCTGGAATCTATCATGAGGCTGCTCGTCGAGACTGAATATTATGTCACCAGGTTCAATTCCGGGCACACGATCTCCCTCGCCAGCAAACCGAATGGTTTGGTTGTCCTAAAGACATAAAATTGAAACCGCAAGACTCACCATCATGCCTTTGTCGATTTCAACAGAGAGAAGCTTCTTCTCTCTTACAACTTTATTTCCGGAGCAATTTGAACAACGGTCCTTCGGGGCAATAAATTCTTTAGAACCGTTACACTCGTCGCAGATCGTCTGTGATTGTTGTACAACACCGGGCGCGATCTGACGCAGCCTCACTTTAACGCCTGTTCCATTGCACGTCTCGCAGGGCCTAGCACAGCCAGGTCTTCCACCGACACCTTAACACATTAACACATGCACAGATCTTTACCTCCGCATTTGGGGCACATAACGCTCCTGGTAACGTATAATTTCCTGGTCGATCCATTGTACAGTTCTTCCAGAGTAACTGCCAGTGGATGCACAGTGTCACGACCACGGGTTGGACCGCGGGAGCGAGAAACACCGCCAAAGAACATGTCAAAGATGTCAAACGGATTGTGGAAGTTAAAGTCCCCACCTCCGCCCTCCTTCAGCGCCTGCTCCCCACCTTGATCATAAATATCCCGCTTTTTGGGATCCGAGAGGACCTCAAAGGCTTGTGATATCTCTTTAAACTACAAAGCCATAAGCAGAAGCAGTACTAGCTAACCTTCTCCCCATTATCGTTGCTATTTTTGTCAGGATGGTACTTTAGGGCCAATTTCTTGTAACTCTTTCTGATCTCGCTTAAAGTTGCTGTAGGAGAAACACCGAGAATGTCGTAATAACGAGTCTCCTTAACCATCACTGCACCCCGAAGACGGACAACGAAACCTACTCAAAAACAGTGACACTAAAAGCTTCTCGATGTAGTGAGTATTAAAACAAATGGATAATTACCAACTTAACAACAAATTAGATGGCCAACCGTATGCGCAACATTATTTCAGACAAGCTTTACTACTTTTCAAGATAGCAAAAATGCTAAAAAAGCTTCTGTTTGGGGCGTCTAAATGATCCGTCGTATGCTGAAGAAAAACATCTTTAGAGCTTATCATTGTACCCGGGTAATGCATATTTTTTTTAACATTTGCTCCCCACAGAGACATTTACATATACCTGTGATTCAAAATATGTGATTGTCGATCTTTCAATGTCCCTCACAACTCACCACCCCTATTGACTCCATAGGAGTGTTTATTAATGGGAGTTTTATTGGAAAACACGGCACATGATAGCACAAACCTTGTCAGGAAGTAGGTATTCAGACCAGTATGTTAATAATTGGTTAATTTAATGAACCAGAGTCCGAATTTAAATTCTGCCCCTCACTCTAGTGTCACAAACTTAAACACGTAAACTTCATTACAGCGAAAACATACCTATGATAAAATTTTGCGCATAAACTTTAATTAGCTCCCACCATTTAGATGATCACTTTTCTTTTCACGAATTAAATTAGGTTTCTCGACCTTCTGAAATTCTTAAAATTCCCAGTGTCATACACCATCGTTTGTGGCACTTATAGGTGCTGACATCCTAACCCTTATTCTATGAACCAAAAATGGATTTCCTCAGCTTTCTCTGCATTCTTCCGGGGTTGCTCCTGTGAGTCATGTTTGTTGGGGTTCCGTTAGCGTTATTACTGCTTTTTTCGGACCATAGGAGCTGGAGCAGTCTTCAGAACACACGCGATTCCTTTTCAGGGGAAGCCCTAACTACTGACCGACACTGTACTTGGGTCGCAACCACGGTTTCCTTCAATGCGACCATCCACAATAATTGATGCACCATTTCTTGAGTAAATTTAAAACCAGACTCGCGATCATATGATTGAAATGACATTGATGTGTAAAAAAACCCCCTCAAAGTCACTATCCTAAAACTAGTTCGCCAATGTACAATGCCCACATATACAAAATCAAAGTTCAAGCGAAAAATTATTACCCTGTCGAAATGGCGTTTGACCTTGCGTGGGTTCAACACAAAATGCCTTCCCACTTTCCATTGTATGTGCACATTACCAAAGTATAAAGCTGAACCAGCAATTTCAGGAGGCAAATTGCTTGGTTAAATTGCACTCAACGTCATCACGTGATATACACGGATGTAAAATTAACAACGAAGACGACAATATTCCCGGGATACGATTTGGCTGCATACCTCAAAACAGGACGACTCTATTTCCCTATGCTTGGTTGTCTTTACACGTTGAAAGAGCTTACGAAGTGCAAACAAAAAGGGGTGCATCCTCTTATCTACCGTTCATCAGAAGGGAAGGAAAGCATTGAGATGGCAACAATTAGGGGTGGATGTGGGAAATAATTAGGTGGCAAAGAAGCACATTTTTGCATCAACTCATAAGGCTCACTTTTTTCTGATAAGGCGAGAGGACTTATGGCAGGAAGTTGGCATTATTTTGGACGTTGAAGTAAAAAATGCTACAACTACTATGCAAATCACAGAAATACTTGAATCAGCGGTCAGGTCAAAAGAGTGTGTTGCTTCCATTGGTAAGAGGTTCTTCGCCCTCCGAATTGAAGAGGATGTGATAGGAGCCACCGAAACCGCGAATTCTTTTGCTCCCATGCTTAAAGCGACTGCCACCGCGTCTCCTGCGTCGGGAGCAGTGCAAGTAGACGCAGAAACCGAGACCAGCAAGGAAGACGAAACCAACCACAGCGAGAACAGCGATTGTTAGAGCCATCTGCTTCCTCGACTGACTGGCTAACCGCGACCAAAAACGAGTGGTTTGATTTTGCGCTGGAACTGTCAGAGGTAAAATATACTTGAACTTTTCAATTGAAAAAAAACTTTGTTTGACAAATATTTGTTTATCAATTTAGGCAATTTGAGTCGCTCCTTGATAAATCTTATGACTGATTGACTAGTAGCTAAATAAAAGGCATTATAAATTTAAATGTCCTAGAGGAAGGAAAACGAAAGCCCTGAAAACTACTTATGGAAAAGCACAATGTGACTGCACATTGCCTGACTCACTACCCGAGTGTAATTAAAACGTTAAAAATGACAGACATAAACTACCATGCAAATAAAGTAGCAAGTGATACCAAATCTGCATTGAGCTATGAGTCGTGACTACATAGTCAAAAGAAACGCTCAACCAAACCGATGTAATGCTCATTCAGTGGGTGTTAGATTGTGATACGCTCTGCAAGGTACTTAAGCAAAGTGATGACAAGTAAAATCCGGACTGTTGAGCAACACAAGGAGGCAACCAGAAGCAAATCCACCGGAAGTGATTAGTGCGCAATACGTGAGTACATTGAATCAGCCTATTTACTGACACTGTCACAAAAATTATAGTTGCTGATTCCTCTTTTCAGCCTTAAAACTGAAGACATGTGATGCAATGCGAGTTGTATGCAGTAAGGCCATTGCAATGTCGAGTCAGGCATGCGTCATGCTGGAAAGTGTGATGCTAGGTGACAGCACCACAAATAGCGTATCTCGGCTACTTGAGATGCCAAGGTTTAGTGTACTTAGAGGAACAGTAAAAACCAAAAATAATGAAAAATATGACTGTTTGTAGTCACTAATGTAACAGCAAATTTTATGTGCGTATGAGTTTTGCTGGACTTTGTGAACCAAAATTAACCGCGCAAAGAAATACTGCAGATTGACTAGTCCGAAATTTTTGAGGAACGCCCATGAGAGTGCATTGCAATGCAGCATGAAAATCCTGCGATGAAAAGGGCTTTGCAGCATGGAACCAAAGCTATACATTTATACAAGTGGAGTAAAAAAAAACGTTAAAAAAGTCTTAGGAAATTTTTTATATTGTCAGTATAGAGAGGGCAATCGCATTTCAGAACCTGAAAATTCAACAAATCTCACTCAATCTATGATATCCGTTAGTATCAAGAAATCTGCCTCGCTTTGCTGAGTAAGGTGCATTTTCAAAAGGATACAGAAATAAACACAACATAAGGACATTACTACTAACAAAAACTAACAGTATAGAAGGGGTAAAGTAGAATGTAATTTAACAAGGATAAAAGACCACAAAATTGCGTTGAAATGCTTACATGAAGAGAATATTGAGACCACTCTTAGAAAAATAATATGAAACTGTAAATAGTTTACCTAAACAGTACTAAATTTGAAAATAACAACCAATTCGATAAACAAGGCTTAGCGTTACGGAGCAAAACGTGTAAAAGCCATGAGGACTAAAACTCTAGAAGTGTTTGTGAAGGCGGGTTGTTACCTTTTTCAAGGTAGTAGAGATTGCCCTTATCGGATTCTATGCGAATACAAAAATTTGGGTCCCCACAGTTGTATAGTATGCATTTTCTGCTCTATTTTAATACTTTGTCAAAAGTTATACTCACTGTTTCGTAATGAGTAATAGTTGTGCAGTTGGTGATCGTACAGCAGGCCATTAAGCAGTCTTCAACTGACATAATTGAAATATTTAAGCGAACAGCTCCCTTGAGAATGCTGTCTTTGCTCACTCTTGTATTTCTATAAAGGGTTGACTCACATACTGGAACTTCACACAGTGCATGTGAGACGAATAAGAGAGCAAGCAAATGCAGCATTACACCCCAATAGTTCGCACTGATTAAAATTTGTTCTTGATTGGCCGCCAGAGGCAAAATAAATTTTATCGATTAAATTAAACGCCCCAAGGCTGTCATTAAATGATGTTTGAGTTACAAAATAATAATCAACTTTTAAATGATTACTGCCATGTATAATGCGTTTAGACTGAGCCCATAGAAGGAAAATTTTAGCAATTTAGACACAAATTCAGCTCGTGAAACAGCACGAAGACACATCCGCAAGGTGAATTTGGTTTACCGAGTCACCGATACTCTACTTTTCTTTCTGTATAGGATGCCAAATAAATCTTCCTTAGCCAACACATCATTGAAGTCAGAGGTTCAGAGGCCTGAGGGTAGACTAGGAAATCCTACAACTACAATTGCACCAACTGATTTATATCCTTTATAAAAACAAAAGCATCGCCCGTTACTAATGCGCCTATTCAAAATTATTTAGTGCAACCGAAAAAGCTCTGCTCTTGCATATAGAGCAATAATTAAACAGGAACTCTTATCCAATTTATGAAGAATATTTCATTACTCTATCTGTTTATTGATTCCAACACTTGGTTATAGGCTCCGCGTTTCCGTTTCTTAACGCATATAGCTATATGACATTAAGCAGAACTACATGGTTTTGCACAGAGAGTAGTAGAAGGCCGAAGAAGTTAATAGGGTTTGAAGACCAGCCCACAAGGGCAAATGTACAATTAGCATTACAATATTACGCATCACCCGGTAGGCCTAGCGATCACTGTAGTATTTATCTCGATATTTTTGCATTGACTGGCCGTTGGGGAAGCCAAAGTCCACCCCCTTTCCTCCTCTCCTTAAATACGTATTATCGAACCTATCCAAGGTCTACTTTTACCCAAGTGACAGTTTTAGGACAATGCGCTAGTAAGTGAGTTTGCAGGGACGATGCGAAAATTTGATACGAATCCCGTACCTAGAGTAGCTTGCCAAGCCTACTGTCGACTTACAACAGAGACTTTTAGTAATAGCAGCATCTCTCTGCGAGCTGTATTAACTGCCTAATAAAAACTTCCATAGCAATTCACCTCATGTAAAGAGCGAAGTACAGGACCTTGAGAGCAGAAATGGATTTCCAACATCTGCATTTGCACAAACGTGCACACCTCAATTTGAAGAAACTACAGCTTTCATGATTTGTTTGTGTGAGCACCTGTATGATTGGGGCTGTAATTGTATTCGTCTTGCTGTTGTGCGCGTGACTGGCCTTAGGGTTAAGCCAAAGCCCAATCCCTCTCACTTTCTCACTGACTACATGGGATCAGCCCCACTTAATGCCTCATTCTACCTCTTTGGAAGTCTCGGAACTCTACAATATCTTTTCCACAACAGAAGATCTGGAAATTGACGCCTACGTATATTTTCATTTTGTCCATTACCGTAGTCCACAAACCAATTATTAACAACTTATGCGACAGCGTTTTTCTTGTTAAAAAACACTTTTAGGCCTGTGTTACGGCGTCTCTCGCTACATGTACAATTGCCAGTCAACAGAAGTTCCTGCCTCTGGCTCTTGCATTTTGTCCGTACATATCTGCATATCCAAATGAAGCTGGGGGAAGACGGAGACTGCCCTTTGAGTCCAATCATGGCTGCTGAAAGGCTCGGTTGGCTCCCAGATCCATTCCTGCTGCAGCTAGCATGGAAAATGTATAGCGCGTAGTGCCGATGTCATCGGTAAAACGAACTGGCGGTCACTTTTGGCATCAATCTATCGTTTGGTTCCGTGCCTAGACTTGTAGTTGTAATGCCTTGTTTATGTAATTGTCTTACGTTTGGCGGTTACTTTAGAATTTGTCTGGCCTCTGTACATGTGGGTTGGCCTCGCTCAGGCCCCATTTGCTACGTCGTCTTCCGAATGCATTGTTTCACCCTCAATTATGTTTTCTACTGCCTTACAGGAAGCCTCGGGATGCTACAGTAGTTAAGGCAAAGCGTAATCTCTTCCCTTCTCCTCCAATACAAATGTGCAATCATACTAAAAGTCAGCACAACTTATTTAGTAAAACTTCTGATATATATTCTAGCTTGTTTAAGTGGACTTTTATAAGTGATGGCGGGAACCAACTGGGAGCGTGGATCACGTGCGTGAAGTCGACGAGGAGCCTCCCTCTGATTGATATCTCTTACCTCATCAGTATCTTGTTCCCCATCCTTCCTAACAGCGACGCCTAATAAATCGTCTACTACCAACTTCCCCTTAAAGTCTGCGAACCTGGGACCAGAGGGTAGACTGGCGGTAACTACAACTTCCATTAGCTATCTGAGCAAATTAATGTCCTTATGTGCCTAGAAGGACGTTCGTTATCTCCTCATCTGAAATCGCGAATTTTATATTGCAATAAAGTAATGCAAAAAATTGAAATTGCTAAGTTTATTGACCTTTCTAATGTCCTGAGACTTCCTGATCGGTAGTAATAGGCATTGAGCATAGCTGGAAACTGAATCAGAATGTGTGGATGCAGGATGCGGCAGAGCCTGCAGAACGGCCTACAAAGCAAACGCAAGATCCGCAGCATTCGCCTGCCATTAATGCAGTTAGCCAAATGATCAAAAACGTTAAACGTTAAACGAATTTCTAGAGGCTTCAACGGACTCTATATACCCTCCCTCTAACTCCAGGCGAGCCTGATTGCAGAAGTACCATCTGAAGTCCAGCGCTCGAGGTAAGAACATGATGGCCGTTAAGTGACGGGTTTCATGTGATAACTATAGACTGCCTGTGGAACACGGGACTGTGGTAGATGCCGAACGCAGATGCCAATGGAGCGTCTCGAGACTACACACTGAGAAGAGGATATCAAGTTGTGCTGATTGCATGTGTTCTTGGGGTAAAAGTAAAAAAATTGGCTTGACTCGAATTTCAGCCACAGCAGGCAAGAGTGGGATGATTATTATTGCCGTCGAAATACGTACCACCTTAATGGGGCCAGGTTTTATGCCCTCTAATAACAGTGAAAAATCCTGAGCCCCAACGTTAGACAGTAGAGGGCACTAAACATGAGCAACTAATCTTACTCAGTGATAAGAAGAATAAATGGTGCTATGTGTAACGCTTCGCTTATGTGACTATCTGACGCGTGGGCTGGCCTTCGGGCCACGCTCAGGCTCCCATTTCTCCTAGCGTTTTT